TTAATAATTTCAATTGAAATATAAATAATAACATAACATTTAATTTACATAAATGCATCGAATAACATGCATAAATAATTAAAATTTAAATATAAATAATATCATAACATTTAATTTATATAAATGCATCAGGTAACATAGATAAATAATAAAATAATTTAAAATGAAATAATATCGTAACATTTCATTCATATAAAATATAATTTATCAACTCACCAATTGCCGAAGAATATAATGAATGCATAACACTATCCGCCGGCTTATATATATGAATGAACAATGACTCTATAGCGGTCATTGTTAAAATAATATTGTTCAAATCGAAATTGATTTTCGAATTTTATTCACAATCAGTGTTGATTTTCGATTTCTTTCGAAAATGAATTTTTTCGAAAATCAAATTGAATTTCTACAAATTGGAAAATCAAGCAGTTTTGAATTATTCAAAATTCAATGAATAAATCATAACACTTTAAAAATGCTTCAGCTTATTTGAGATCGATTTTCCAATAAGTAGAATTTCAAAAAAATTTACAGTGTACAACGTCATTTGTGCGAAATATTTCAAAAACAAATATGTTTCGAACTTTCTTTTCCAACACAAATAGATATGTTAATCTTAAAGAATTTTTTTCTTCGCCATTATCCAGTAAGTACCTGTAATAAAATCACAGTTTGCATACCAAACGTATTTCTTTGACTGGAATAAAAATTCAAAATTTTTTTCTTTTTAAAAAATCTTTCATCAAAAAACAGTGATTTTTCTTATTGATTATTTTTAGAAGAAGCCATATCAACTGCTGAACAGTTATTGCTTGATTGTTATTCAACAACAAACATCTCATCGTCTCTTGACGAACTAAGAGCGACAATGGTTGAATCAGCATTTAAAAGTAATCGATCATCATTTTTTGCTCCAATTCTACCACCAACCTCAAATGCTTTCCATCACCATTGTCACAGAGTGGGACGGCAAACTCAGATATGGTTTCAAGTTTATCTATCAGATATGATAATACCATCTATGGAACAATGTGAAGGTTTTGAAATAAAATGCAATGATATTCAACTTAAATGGTTATCAAATGACCATATTCCATCTGATCAACGTTTGTCCGTTTGTGGTAAATGTACAGGAAATTGTAATCGTTGTTCATGTGGAAAAAATGAACTTGCTTGTACTCTTCTATGTAAATGCTTGACAAACAAATGTCAAAATCGAAAAAAAGTTTCAGTAAGTTTTTGCAAGAGAAAATCTTATTAATTTTTCATTTGATTTTAGAACTCGCAAGATCTTTACCTTAATCAGATTCTTATGGACGATACTGAATTCAATGTCAATCATAATAAAAGTAGTTGTGATCTTAGTGCAACTAAATCTATGGAGGTAGAAGACGAAGAAATATCACGTGATACATATTCTTGGGCTTCGGTAGGCTAACTTTTTATTTATATGAAAAATCTTTTTTTTTTTGTTACAGAGTTATATATCTGATGCAGCAAGTAGTGGTTATGATTTGTCACAGTTATATGAATCACCATATCGATCCATGTCCTCAATGATTGAGAATGATAATATTGATAATGATACATTGTCAATAATCAACATCGATCATAATTATTGTAAAAGATCGTGTGAGAAAATCAAAGAAAACTCGATTGTTTCAGAGAGAAAAAGACGAACAATTCATAAATCAGTAAGTTTAAATAACTTTGATGAATCATTTGTTTTTTTGTCTTTTAGTTAAGTGAACTACAAGCAATTGAATATTCAACTAAAAATAAAATCGTACAATCTCAAAAAATAAATTCATTTGATAATCGCTTTGAATCATCATTTGTAAGTTAACCGAAAATATTTTTATTAATGCTGTTCTATGTTTATTTTAGAGTCTTTTTTCATCATCAATGTCGTTTTCTCAACCAGCAACATCCACGCCTCGAACAACAAAATCAAAAACAAACAAAGCTCGACAAGTGATAGAAAAAGAAAATAATCATGATTTCGACGGAAATATGTCATCAATATCGTTTCCTCATTTTCAGGTTTTATTGTTTTCTCCAGAATATTGAAATTCTTTTTGTTTTTTAGGATATTGATGAATAAAC